AGACAGTACAAAGACAATACAAACTCTTTGAAGAACCAGGCATGTGAAATTCACATTTATGATATATAGATAGTCTCAGCTTATTTAAAATAAGATATAATCAAATACAAGTCATTTTTTAACAACACTGACATTTTATTTGCCTAAATTTAAAGGCATGTTTGAGTATGGACAGTAAAAGTGATGGAAACCTAAATGTTTGAGAAAGATGCTTTGGGTAGACACATATTCTGTACCAAAAAAATAAAAATAAAAATAAAAATTCAAGCAGGTTATCAAGTCCAAAATATTTGAAGCAATATGACCATTTTTTTTTTACTAACAACATCCCACTAACAGAGCATTTTGTCGTATTTTTTATTTGTAAAATTCATCCGGGAATCTTGGCATGTACACTCAAAATAATAAAATAATTCTAATACATTACACTCATAATGGACTTCTTTAAAAGCATTTTTCTAGAAGTACTCAAACAAATAAATAAAAGCAGCTTACTACAGTGGCACATCGTATTCAAACAAAGGAGCAACTTCTCAGCTTCGAAGCGGCTGATGTAACACAGTAAAATATTAACACACAGGTCTTTAGCACTTCATAATGAGCTGTTTTTCTTCACCCCATGACCATATCGTTTAGCTGCATGCTCCATAGAGCAATAAAACATTTCTATTCTCATCAGAATTTAACAAGCAGAAATGTTTTTTTTACACTTTTCAGGAAGTTATGCAACTTATGTATGGACACTAAGTCTTTGTAATCCTCTCCCTGGACAATTTACAGCGCTACTCCTTACTGGAAAAATGATATAATCCTCCTCAAGATGGCAGTGTGTTATCTGTGACTGCACCACCGACTCAAGCTCTCGCCTCTCGTCACTAAAACTAGGTCAACTGAAGACGCAATGCAGCTTACTTCTTCACCATCTTGTCTTAAGATATATACTTTTGCAAAGCCCTCACACTTAAATGAATAATCTCAAGGTGGGTTCACTCGTTTAGCATCAGATGGGCTGCAGGTGCTATGGGTTAAAAGCAGTGGAGCTGCCAAGCATTTGTGCTGTTCATTTARCAATAACCCTGGTTATTCTCATGTATTTTCTGCTCTAGCTTCATTTTAAGCTCAGACACYAAAGCAGAGCTGATGTTTCCCTCTTTGCGGCGGCCAGGCTTTGTTTTCTTGGACCCTTTGTAGGCCAGCGCTCCAGATATTGTCGGGAGTGCTCGGGGTCGCTCGCCGGCTCGAGCGTTAGATGGAGGTGGAGGAGGCAGACAAGGGGCGATCGGAGGTGGAGGCTTCAGCCTTGGGCTGATAGTTTCCTGCAATGGGCTGCTTTCTGGGTCGCTGATGAGGAACTTCTCCATGGGGTTGGTAAACTTGATACCAGGTATCTTGAAGTTCCAGGTCTGCTGCTCCCTGGGTCGCTTCTTAACGATGCGTCTCACCGGCGTGATCCTGTTCGCCTTTGAGTTGCGCATGTACGTAACCGTAGAGATCAGAACTGTCACTCCTACCAATACAATAATGATAAAAGTGACCATACCTAGAGCTTTTAAAGGATTGTCTCTACTTTTCATTAAAAAAGCTGCCATAGGCCCCTTGAGAGGAGTCTGTAAAAAGAGCACAAATAGAACAATTTGAATCGGAGGTCAACATTCGGCGCAGCATCTTTCTAAAGCGTGCAAGCATGAGTCATGGATATGGAAAGCGCTGACGGACGAGGCCCAGATAACACTCTCACTCACAACCAATCATCTGTGTTCCTCCGTCCAACAGAATGGGACTGCTGATGCAAAGCAAAAGCACAGGCAGGATGCTAGTTGTTGGTAACGCWTCTGGCCGTCTGATTGATGAAGACTGAACAGTTTTATTAGACCAGCACAATGGTGTTTGCGAAASAAAAATGGAGACCAAACAAAGCAAGAATAAAAAGTTACATTCTAAGTAAATCTCTTCTTAGTCAGTTTCACAAACATAGTTTAAATCATTAAGGAAGCTGTTGAGGTTATGTAATGTAAAACAGTTTTAAAAAATGGTTACAAAGAATAAAGACAGTATAAAAACATAAAAAAGCATAATATATAGTTTGAATGTTACTTTAAAAATACTAAGGTACTCTTTTGCTGACAACAACCATTCAGCTAATATTTACAGCTGAACGGTGACGTTCCGGCTGTGTCTCACTTGACTCGGCGAACCACTTTGATATAGTTACTCTCCGGGTTGATTCGGGACTTTTTCACCGAGCTACAGTACAGGATTGTGGAGATGCAGACAGTCAGTACAATGAGGGTTGTGATAAGGGTGAAACAAATTCCAAAAACCGTCAGTGGACGCTTGCTAAGGCCCATGAAGTATGAAAACATTCGACCTTTGATCTGAAAAGCACGATCACAACACAGAAACAAACAAACAAAAACCAACCACTGAGTCATCATGAAGAATGACAGAATAAATGTATGGTGAAAACATGATGAATCAGGAAAAAAATAAAAAATTATGGAAATGGTTGAAAACTTTAAAGGATATATTGTTTTTCAGCTTATAGTCACATTTATAACTTGACAGCAAGACAAAAGCTAAAATATAAGATTTAGCCACGAATCAAATTTTCCTTGAGGTGCTTTTTTATTTTTTTTTTACATAAGTAATTGGAGGATCAGCAACAAAAGGCTGTGACTTAATTTTTTGATCATTTGATTTCTGTCATTTTCTCAAATGCATTAAAAAAACAACCAGTGTTATCCTTCAAAGGAGACCATTTTGGATGGTTTAACTACATATGCCATACTATGGTTTGACTACAATGCTTCTTATTTTCAACAGCTTAGGAGGGCGATAAGAAGCACAGCAAGCATGCAGAATAAAAAAAAATAAAACAAATTCCTACCGCTTCTGTGATATCAATGTTGACCACAGCTGTTGTGCTGAAGGACGGAGAGCCTCGGTCCCTGGCCTCGACCACCAGGGACCATTTACAGTCTTTCTGCTTGGTGATGTTCTGGACGATCTCCATCGACTTGATGAACGGCTTCAGTTTGATCTCCCCGGTGTCTGAGTTGATGTCAAACGCGTTGTCGGGATCCGCCGTCATGATGGAGTACTCGATGACGTTGTTTGGGGACTCGGCGTCCTCGTCCACTGCCTACAGGAAGTGACATGTTATKATAAGAAGTTGTGGTTATTTCTACGCAAATCACAACAACATGAGCTTCTTTGAGGGACAAGACAGCTAGGGCAGTGGTTCTCAATTATTTTCTGCCATGCCCTCCTTAGGGAACCTAATTTTTTTTCACATATACCCTGATTTGAAATATACGGAAGCGTAGAGCTGTCACATGACATAAAATCATTTTTGAACTGGCTCTCGTTCTAACAAGAAAAATCTCGTAAAAATGAGAAAATATGTCGTTATAACGACAAAAATATCTCGTTATAATGAGAAAACTATCTAGTTATAATGTGTTGTGATTTTTTTCTGGTTTGTCATTTTCACAGAAGTTTATTGCCTGACTGAGCCACTATATGCTTTTTTACAAAGAAGAAATCTGCAAGAGGAACACATTTCTAGACTAAAACATGACAAAGTAAGTTACTGAATAATCTTTTTGAAATAATAGCGTCTGACTTCAGATTTGAGAGTGCATATTGCTAAAGAAGTGCTACTAGCTGCAACGTCTGAGCACAAATCCAAATAATATGCATTCTGTTTTTTTATAGTGGTTCAGTCTTTTTCTCCATCACACCATCCAGGCAATAAACTTCCGTGAAAGTGACAAACCAGAAGAAACCATAACACATTATAAGGAGATGGTTATCTTGATGAAACAAGATAGTTTTCTCTTTTTTAGAAGATAGTTTTCTCTTTTTTAGAAGATAGTTTTCTCATTATAACAAGATATTTTTGTCTTTATACAGTTTTGTCATTATAACGACATATTTTCTCGTTTTTACGAGACAGTTTTCTCGTTATAAAGAGATCCAGTTTAAAAAATAATTTTATGTCATGTGACAGCTCTACGCTTCCGTAGAAATACTATTGAGAACCCGATAATATTTAATTATTTATCCGTAGAAAATCCCTTTCTGCATACAATCACTTGATAATAGTAGGAAAAACACTAAAGACAATTATTATTATCTTTTACTTTTTAAATTTTGTATTTTTGCTGCATTGAATCATTGGTAAATGGCTTGAACTTATATAGCACCTTATCAAGTCCACATGGAGCCCAGAGCCCTTTACACTTCAACCATTCATCCATTACCACACACATTCACACACTGATGGTGGTAAGCTGCAACCACAAGCTGATGGGTGGGTGCACAAGCTGTTACAGCATGATGTACCTGGACTTTAACAAATGTGCCAATGATCATGGTCTTCTCAAGGAACTTGTCRTCAAACTCTGGAGGGTGGTCGTTCATGTCGAGGACGGTGACAAAGACTTCGGCCAAGCCATATTTGCCCTCTGAGTCCTCAGCCTTGACATAAAAGTTGTATTTCGACCTGACCTCTGCRTCCAGGCTGGTCCAGGGCTGGGTGGTGATGAGGCCCGAGGATGGGTGGATGGCAAACCTGCAGGTAAAATGATTCTGCGTCATCACAACAGACTGGGTGAAGAAAAAATGCTAAGAAAATAAGAATTGCGTGAATGTTTGCGATTTGCATTTGAAACATTTGCTTTAGTTTCTTGCTAATGTCAAAAAACTGTGTTTTCAGAGTTCTTTCTACTTCAGTGTTGGGCTCCCAGCCACTTYATTTAATCGACTTTCAGTCTTTTTCTCTGCTGTGAAAATTCACAAGTTGCTTTGAAACTGATAACTTTCGCACAATTAAGGCATGCTGTCTGCAGACGAGCATGAATTCTCACTTTTCCTCTGCCGCGCGCTGCCTTGCTTTTCAAAGCTACCGTTTCCGTGGCTCCAGCTGTCACATTACATGTTAATTGGCTCTGCCTTTGTGAGACGGGCCAGGCTGGCTATTTTTAACCCTCCAATCTAATTAGAAGATTAGCCAGCATCTCRCAACCATTTTGGAGCGAGTTGTTGGTGAGGCAGCGGGGAAAAGGAAACTGGATTTCCTGTTTTGTTTTGTKTTTTAGTCTTCCTGCAGAAACAAAAAGGTGAATAAAGATTACTGTCCTGACTTTTGAGTCTCCCCAAACACCTTGGTTAAAAAAAACTAAATGAAACAAAACAGTGTAATATATATTTTCAGGGGTGAATTTAAATAGTTAAATATTTGATCAGGATGGTAAGAAGCTGTCAGAAGTGAACTTTTTTTTAAACTTACAAATCTGATCCTGATCCATAAATGGTGTATTTGACTTCACCCCAGGGCCCMGAGTCTGGATCATTTGCCTGAAAAACAAAACATGACAAAGATAAAAATAATAATAAATAAAAGCTTTTTGTGATCACGATAATTTATTTGATCAACTTGATGTTGGGAAATCAGAAAACTAAAATGAGTCTATAGCTGATAACCAGCTGGGATGTGATAAAGTGCCGAGTCTTTTAATGGAAATGGATATAAAGTAGAATCAAACAAAAAAGTTGAAGCAAAAAATGTTTTTACTGAGTAATTTGAACATACAGTTTTACTGTAGCATCTAATAAATAAAGGAGAAAAATGAAACAGARAAWAWAAWRTGYCMMAWWTKTGWSAMMAMWMYCC